CCGGGGGCAGCGGGTCGGCGAGGCTGCGACCGCCGGGACGAGCTGAGGGACGGCGGGGACGGGTCCGGATCTCCGGTCCTGGCGCCCGGCGGCGCTACTGAGAGGGCGGGCGAGGCGCGGAGCGCTGCCCAGCTGGGGGCCACCCCGAGCGCTCATTCTCGGGGGACTTGGCCGAGGAACCGCGTTTGAGGGAGGGAGCGAGAGAGCAGGTCGGCCGGTCCAGACTGAAGGTGTACGTGTGCGTGTGTGTGGTTGTGTGTGTACATGAGCGTGCATGTGTGCCTGCCCGGGGTGGGCGTGTAGGGGCGGGGAGGGGCTGCTGGTGTGTATGTGTGTCTGACAGTGTGCGTGTGTGTTGGGGGTGCGTGTGTGTTGGGGGGTGTTTGACTGTATATGCTGAGAGAGAGGGAGGGAGGGGTGGGGGGAGAGAGAGAGAGGGAGGAGGTGGGAGCTCCAGAGCTTGGGTCTGAACCCGTGTGGGAGGGAGGGGGCTCAGCGGGATGGGGTGCATGTGCGTGCGTGCGCGTGTGTGCAGGGGTATGTGAAGGGTGAGTGGGTGTGTCAGGGGTGCTAGGTGTGGCCGAGTGTGTGATGTAAGGGTGCCGGGTGCACGTGTGTCCCTGGCTCACCCTCCCTTCCCCCTCCAGATGTGTGCGCCTGGAGGGGAGAGTTCCGGGGAGGGGGCGGGAGTCACTGCAGCGGCCGGCCCAGCTTGCCTGGCCTTCTCCCTCTGGGAACCAGAAACGCTAACGGCCCCTCCTCCAAATACTCCTAGGGTCCCTAGGAGGGGAGCAGCCCTAACCCCTAAAAAGGGGAGGGCTGGACGGGAGAGAGACCCTGCTGCTGTGGGCTCAGCCCGGCAGTCTCCGGCTCTGCAGAGCCCTCAGGCTGTGCTTTGCCCCTCCCGGGGGCCTTCAGTGGTGTCTCAGGCGGGGCCAGAAGTGGGGGTCTGGGCATATCCAGGAGGGTTTGCTTGGTCACAGCTGTATCCCCAGAAGGGTGCTTGGCACCATAGGCCTGCACCGGTGTTTGCGGGAGGAGGGGAATTTGGGGAGGGGGCGGGGAGGAAGAGAGTCTGCATCTGGGAGCCCAAGCCCTCTCTCAGCCCTCTGGCTGCAGTGGACTCCAGTCCCCCTGTGCAGGGGTGGGGTGGCACTGGGGGCTGCAGGGCAGGATTTGTGCTGGACCTAAAGGCGCAGGAAGGAGCTGGCAAGAGGAGCCATCCTGTCTCGTGCTCAGGCAGATTTTGCCTTCTGCCCCCACCACCTGCTTTCTGTGACCAGAAGCCTCCCTCTGGGTTATCCCATCCCGGGAAAGGGAAGAGGGTGGTGGCAGCCAGGGCTCACAAGGCCTCTCTTCCCTCCAGGACCTTGGAGCTCAAAAGGTGCTGAAGAAGGGAGCCCCTGGCCCGCTTGGCTGCTGAGGCCGAGTGCAGCCATGGCAGGGCGTGGCTGCCTGGGGCTGGAGCTGTTCTGCTGGGCCTTGCTTGCCGCTCCCGTGGGCCCCCAGCCTGCCCCCTCTGTCCCAGGTGCCCTTACCACGCTGACTCCACCGCCTCAGAGCGAGGCCTCCATGCTGTCTCTCAACCTGGGACTAAACTTCAAATTCCATCTTCGGGGACCTGCTGCTGTCTGGGGAAACCCTGTCACAGAGACCCAGGCTCTTTCTCCTGGAGCCCAGGAGCCAGGGGAAGAGGTGGCCAGTGGGCTGAGGACTGACCCCCTTTGGGAACTGCTGGTGGGCCCCCCTGGGAACTCTCCTTCAGAATGGGGCTCTGCTGAGGGCAGCTCTACGCCCTGGGCCTCCTCCCTGTCTCCTGAGTCCACATCCCCCCTCTCTGGGCCCACCCACCGTCCAACTACTCCCTATCAGCCCAGGATGGCCACTGTGACCTGGGCCACTGCTCTGACGGCGACAGCACCACCATCCAGTGTTCCCAGGTCCCATCATAGCGAGCTGGAGCTGAAGTTCGATGTGGCGTTGAGAGCAGGTGCAGCCCCGACACTGGGGCATCGAACGCTGCCCCTCCTGCCCAGCTTGCGGGCCAGCCTGGCAGAGATTGCTGGGCGCCTGGGACCCTTCGGTGAGTACCCACCCTGTTGGAGGACAGCCCCTCCTGGGCACCCCTGGCACACAGGAGATGGTTTCAGCCTGGGCTCCTTTTACAGGGTTCTTTGGCACTACTCTGTCCCCACTCCGCAACTTCTCAGGCCTGAGCCCCCGAGACATAACAGCATCCCCAAACTCTCCCTCCAGAGTGTCAGATTCTCCAGGTGAGTGTTCATTTCACTGTAGCAAACATTTGTGGGCCCTCTGCATGCCAGGTGCTATGCTAGGGAGTTGACCAGTACTCCCTTTCTCAGCCTGGGGAGGCCTGCAGTGCTTCTCCAGGACCCTAGGGGAAGTGTTCTCTCTGCAACATTGACTCTGATCTGGTTCCCATAGCTTAGCAAAAGGTGCCCACGAGCTTAGGGTGTGGGATACACTTCTTCAGTACAAGCTCTGGGAAGTACAGGATTTTCTTCAAAGTCCTAGAAGCCACAGCTGGCTGGTAGGGCAGCACTCGAGCCCTGTATGCTCTTGTTGCAGGGTTTTTTGGCACTACTCTGTCCCAGTCCCTACCCTCTCTGGAGAGGAAACTCTCAAGCCCAAGCCTACTGGACCAGGCTGCTTTCCTAAGCACTGCTTCAACTGGGACAACACCAGGGCAACATGGTAAGTGTCAACTCAGTTGGCCCTGACAACTATTTCTTGAGCACTTGCTATGCACCAGTCACTTAGCAGTGTTCTGAGACCCTTTTATTTCCTTGTCTTTATAACCATAATCACCATTCTGTTCGTCATCACCATGGAGAAATACACATCAATGACCCTTGAACAAGTGTTGCAGGGGAAGGTTCCCCACGGAATTAAGGAGTGGTCCTCTGAGAGGTTTGCAGTTGCAGGCAGAGTGGCTTGGTGACAGGTGGAGCAGGGCTCACCCCATCCTCCAGTGTGGGTGACCCAGCCTACCTCTCCTCCCGCCCCCATTCCAGCCCAATCTTGCAACTCTTCTCTGGCTTCTGATCTGACATGACACACTGTCAGGTACAGGCAGAGCTGGGCCCTCACTGGGAAGACGTTGAAGAGGAGGCCACAGGCAGAGAGATGCCAACTTCATTCAAGGGAATCTTTCACACATGCTTCTAGACAAGTGGGTGGCATATTGAGACTGGCTTTGAGCCCCCTTGCTTCCTTACTAGCTGGGTGACCTCGCTCAGCTTACTTAATGTCTCTGAGTCTAAATTCTCTTATTTATCAAGGGTTTAATGATAGTACTTATTTTGTAGAGATACTATAGAGCTTCTAGGTGACAAAAACTCTTGGCCTGATGATGCTGGTCACAAAGTAGAAGTTCATTTAAAGTATTTAAAGTTCTCTCTGACTGCATCCCAAATATACTTCCAGACCCCACTTCACAGACACCCTGGCTTTGGCCGCAGGTGATGGTAGGACAACACATCACCAACATGACACCTCACAGAGGGCATAGGTGCTCCGGAACAGGGCCTGGCAGATGAGGCCCCCAGAGCTATGGAGAGCGACTTCCAAGCTAAGCTTTGCTCTTTAAAGCATTTGCTGTGGCTGTGAAGGCCCTCAGCGCTCTCATACTAGGCTCAGCCATGGATACCCCTGGTTTTCTGCCTTCTTCCAGCCCCAGACCCGACACCACACCCCTCCTTCTGGCTCTAACCTCTGTCGCTGTGCTCCCTCAGCAGCGGGTAAGGTGCCAGCCGCTCCCCTGTGCAGCCCGTGTGTGGCAGTGGAAAGAGCCACGGGGGTTGGGGGCAGCTCTGTGCCTCAGGGGAAGGACGCTGGCTGGCAGTCTGTCGGCCTGGGTGACAGTGCTGGCCAGGCAGGTTTAATGAGTCTGGACAGTGTCAGAGGCAGCAGAGCCTGGCAGGCTGGCGGCCCCATCTTCCTCCCCCTCCTCTCCGGTGGCTGCAGGACTCCAGCCTCTTCCTGACTGCTCCTCTGGATAAACCCAGAAGGGCCACAGTTCTCCTGGAGATAAGGCCAACGGGCTTACTCACACTGGGGTGTGTGTGTGTGTACAGTAGGTAGAGAAAAAAAGAGTCTCTCTGTGTCTCTTCTAGGGTCTTTCTCACCTGTTTGCCATTAACTTTGGATTCGTAGGTCTTCCTGGTCATAGGTCCCCTTCACCCTGAACAGAGCTTGTATTGGGACCCTAAATACTCCAATAGTTGTACAAGTCATAACACGCTGAAAGACTCTCAGGCCACTCTGTCCTGAGTCCCTGTGAGTACTCTTGTCCACTCCCTGGCAGGGCGCTGTTCTGACTGGCTGGCACCTGTACTATCCTGCTGTTAAATATTTTGAGTGTCACTATCACGAAGAATATCAGTGTTCTGGGATCCTGGAGGTGGGGGTAGGGAGGGATGGAGCAGGCCACTAAAGGGCTGCAGCTTCCAGAATCCAGAGCGGGGATGCCATTCCCAGCCCTTTGATGTGGGCAGCTGGGGGATAATCAGGTCTGGCTTTCCATGAATGAGATGCCTCTCCCCTCTCCTCCCCCTGTGCCTTCCCAGCCAGCTTCGGACTCACCAATTACTCACACTGACATCCCATCTCCTCCCTCACCCCTGAGGTCAAGAGGGGCCGTAGGGCCAGAATGGGACCTCCCTGAAGAGGTGGTCTGCTCAGGAGAGGGATCCATGGAGGGACAGATTGAAGGTCACTTCCTTCTGGGGGAAACTGAAGCTCTTTCTGGGGAAATCACAAATGCAGAGATGGAGATGAGGTCAAATGGACACTTTGAAGGCAGAAGCCAGGCTTCCTTCCACCTGTCCCCACCCACACCTGCCCCATGCAGGCATGCTAGGCACACTGTGACCCCTGGAAACAAAGCTCCGAATCCAGAACTCCCACACTGACACTTGAGCTGCACTTATACTTTGCCTGTTTTCTGGCTTTTACTGCTTTTCTGAATTCTTATGAATGTTGACATTTGCCCTGGTTGCCATAGGGCTTTGGGGACAGAGATGAGAGATGAGGTTCTCTGTGGCCCATGTGTGAGTGGCGAAGATGGCCTGACCTCGGAGAGCCACGCTTGTCTATGCAGGGAGCGAGGAGGACAGGTGATGGCGGGTACTCATGGTGGGCTTCTAGGCAGGGCCTCTTTGCCTCTCCAAAGAGCCCAAATTCAGTCACTTTGCAGAAGTAGTGCTTTTGACAAGGACCAGAGGGCACCAGAGGATGAGGGGTCAGGGAGTGTGTTTATTTGATCATGCTAATGCTAGATGATGCCTGCCTCTAATCAGCAAGCTATTTGTTTGTAGATGAATGGCTTCTCATCTAACTGAAGGCTGCTATCTTTATGACTGTTCAGGGGTATTTCTGTCATCAGCACGGTACTCTTGAGTCATAAAGTCAAGCAAGATGTTGGTGTTCACTCATTTGACTGTTGTCAGTCACAAGAGTATCTAAACAAACTTTAAATGTGCTAAGCCTTTGCTGCAATCTAGTTAAATCATCTAGTTAAATCAAGAGCTAGTCTAAGGACAGAATTGCTCACACTCATACAAACACAAACTGATGATCATGAGCCGATGAGGATGCTGACCACAATCTTACACTGAATGATCATTACATACCAGGCGCTCCAAAGAATTAACACACATCTTCTCATTTATCCTCACAGCTGCCCTATGCAGTGGCCAGTCTTACTCGGATCGGATTTGAGAATGGAATGAATCAGGGTGCATGCTGCTGTTTGCAGTTGGCAGAAGGCTGTGCATATTTAATTTTTTGGTTGTTCCTTCTCAACCCTCCCTGGTTCCCTAGCTCCATCCCCCCAGAGTTGCCTTCTGGCCCCTCACTCCCTTTTTTGTCCTCAGCACTGCTGTGTTTTGCCTGTCCTAGCATGAGCTGGCACTGCCTAGGGTAGGGATGCTCCTAGGGTCTTCCGGTATTGTCCAGCTGAATATGGCTGGGACATGGCCAGCTGTTGGGGCAGGCATGTGATCATCGGAGACCTCCCTCTCCATTCCACATCTGTCTCTGTCCTCCTCCCCTTCCCTACCGAGCTGTCCCCATCTTTCAGTGCTATCATTTCTTCCTCCATCTCTGAAGTCCTGTTGGGCCTGTGAAGGGAGGGGTGGGAGAGGTCAGTTTACAACAGTTCCCCATTGCCTAGCCATAGACAGAATTCCTGGGTCTCTTTTGAACTCTCTAGCTCCAGGAGAGTGGAATCAGGGTCTTCCTCCACCCCTGCCCACTTTGTAGACTTTCCTTTCCCCAAAGGGTGTGGGAAGATGTTAGCACACAGGAGGGGGCTGGAGGCTTGACTTAAACCCAAGAGTACTTGAGGGCCTCACACACTCAGGTGGCATTTATTGTCCTGTGATGTCCCCAGTTATTCCTCTCTGGGAGTTCAAGGGGGAGCCTCTGAGACTCAGGTGAGTCCATCTCTGTCACCTTCTGTAAAATGTGTGCATGGGAGATCAAAGGGGCATCTGTATTGAGAGTTTTAGACTTGGCTTGTGGGTGAATCAGTATGGGGGCTACAGCCAGAGGTATGCTGAGGATTGGCGTGTAGCTGGTAGGAAGAGCAGTGAATAAGAGGAAATAGTGTTCTCAGAGAGCTGGGGACAGGAGAGCCCCTTCTCTCTCCGATTTGAGTGTGCATATGTACAAGGCAAGTGTGTTCCTTAAAACAGGGACAGGGAGGGAGAAGCTAGAAAGGTGAAGAGAAGCATCTCCTCGAGGCAGAGTGGCACTTAGGCATCAGGGGTGCAGAATAGGAGATAAGCAGACTAATATGATAAAGACATTTTGGATGGAAAAGGAGGCTCCGATCGGTGCTTGGATCTGGATGGCAGCTGCACTCTGCAGGTTCCTGACCTTGTCACGACAGGTCACTGTGCCTCCCTGTAGCACCTCAGAATCTTCATTTGGCAAATGTTTCATGTATTCAATGAGTATCTGCTCAGTGTCAATTATGTGCCACAGAAGCGTGGAGATTCAGATATGAGCAAAGAGAATAACAATCCTTGTTCTCATAAAACTTCCTTTCTGATGGGGGCATTGGATAGGACTGGGGGTGGGTGGTCCACAGTTCCTTCTATGTATAAAGTTCTGTGGCTTCTGGAGAAAACCTTTCCCAGTAGAATCAGAGTGATGGAGAGAAACAAAGGAGGGAGGAGGGGGCGTAAACTGAAGCTCTGGCCTGATAGACTGGGATGTGGGAGGAGGACGTGAAAGAGGGAGAGGTGTGGAGTCTTCTGAGCAGGACAGGTGCCTCCTGGGTGATCTGATGGACTCCCGCTGGCTACTGGCTAGGGGTGGGTGTCAAGACTGCTCGATTACCTCAGCCAAATGTTCTTTGCCCATAGACCCCACCATGCCCACCTCTGGCCCAGAGGACGGCTCTCCTGCCAGCCTTAGGAACCCTCCAGCGCAGCCGGAGTGCGGGCCAGAGACTTGCAGCATGGACGAGGGTGAGCTGCCAGATCCGGAGGTGCAGCCTCCGGCCTCCCCACGGCCCCTCTTCTTCCTGACCCTGGAGGCCGACTGGGCAGAAGCCCGGGCTCGCTGGGGGCTGGCCTGGGAGGCCCACGTGTACGGGGCAGGTGCGCTCTTCGGCCTCGTGGCGTTGCTGGCCCTGCTGGCTCTGGCCCTCTTGCCCTGGCGCTGCCCGCCTGGCGCCCCCTGCCTGGCGCTGCTGGATCTGCTGCTGCTCTCGGCTGGGACCACTCGCGCCTTCCCGCTCTTCTACGACGCCTATGGGCACCGAGAGCGGCTGCCGGCGCTCGCCTGGTTGCTGCTGCAGGACCTTCCTCTGCCCTGCCTGGCCTCTGGCCTGGGGCTGGCCTGCCTGCTGCTGGCCCGGCCTCGCCCCCCGCGCTGCCCCGCC